GCCAATGTAACTATGTATTTAGCGAATATAAAGCATGGCAATGAAACTATGTATTTAGCATATATAAAGCATGGCAATGTAACTATGTATTTAGCGTACATAAAGCATGGCAATGAAACTATGTATTTAGCGTATATAAAGCATGGCAATGTAAATATGTATTTAGCGTATCTAAAGCATGGCAATGTAACTATGTATTTAGCGTATCTAAAGCATGGCAATATAACAATGTATTTCGCGTATCTAAAGCATGGCAATGTAACAATGTATTTAGCGTATATAAAGCATGACAATGAAACTATGTATTTAGCGTATATAAAGCATGACAATGAAACTATGTATTTAGCGTATATAAAGCATGGCAATGTAACTATGTATTTAGCGTATATAAAGCATGGCAATATAACAATGCATTTAGCGTATCTAAAGCATGGCAATGTAACAATGTATTTAGCTTATGTAAAGCTTGGCAATGTAACTATGTACTTAGCGTATATAAAGCATGACAATGGCAATGTAACTATGTATTTAGCGTATATAAAGCATTACAATATAACTATGTATTTAGCGTATATAAAGCATGACAATGTAACTATGTATTTAGCGTATATAAAGCAAGACAATGTAACTATGTATTTAGAGAATATAAAGCATGGCAATGTAACAATGTATTTAGCGTATCTAAAGCATGACAATGTAACTATGTATTTAGCGTATCTAAAGCATGGCAATGAAACTATGTATTTAGCGTATCTAAAGCATGGCAATGAAACTGTGTATTTAGCGTATCTAAAGCATGGCAATGAAACTATGTATTTAGCTTATATAAAGCATGGCAATGTAACAATGTATTTAGCGTATATAAAGCATGGCAATATAACTATGTATTTAGCGTATATAAAGCATGACAATATAACTATGTATTTAGCGTATATAAAGCATGGCAATGAAACTATGTATTTAGCTTATATAAAGCATGGCAATGTAACTATGTATTCAGCGTATATAAAGCATGACAATGAAACTATGTATTTAGCGTATCTAAAGCATGGCAATGAAACTATGTATTTAGCGTATCTAAAGCATGGCAATGTAACTATGTATTTAGCGTATCTAAAGCATGGCAATGAAACTATGTATTTAGCGTATATAAAGCATGGAAATGTAA